TTTTTTAAACATTTTCTAATGGTGGTGTGCCTCGTGATTTTTTTCATGAAAAAAGTGTGCCTTTGCACAAAAAAGGTTGAAAAACACTGCTATAGCCAATACATTAAAATGGATGAATTTATGGTAATATCCTTGGTAATATCCTTGCTTCATAATTAAAAATATAAATGATCAGTGCTAAAAATAATAAGAGTTAATATTTTACTGAATTAAGTCCAAATAAATAGTTGTAATGTACAGTGTTATACTGTAAGCATCATGTAAGCTACTGAATTTCACTGATGCAATTTTTTCAACATAGAGCCACTTATTTAGATAGAAATGTACTGTTAAAATACAAAACACATACATGTGGCTCTATTAACATTCTCAGATTATAGACGCCAGTTCAGGTGTTTGCCAAACTTATTTATAATATTAACTATGAAATACTCAAAAGTGTATTTATTCAACAAGTTTAATTTTCCATGTTTATGTCATACCGAGTAGTATAAATTTGGCTATTTAAAAAAATGACATATGAATGTATCCAGACATTTTTAAATAAATTGGATATATGACAGTCCAATGGGAAACAGCAATAAAGCAGTAAAACTACAATTTGGAAGTGTTTCATATTATCAAGTGATTTAAGAAACATGTGGATAAATGCATTTTTATTTGGCACATAACTTTTTCAAAGACAATATTTGTTTTATTACACTGATGGGATGTTTTATTTTTATAAATTGGGAAAAGGTTAGTTGCCACTTGACTGTGATGAACCCCCAATGTCCAATGCAATTAACTGTCTACTTCTGAGAGTTATTGTCTGGCTGAGTGAAAAGCAATTAATTTGCATGCTGTGCTGATCTGTTGCAAAAACATATCACCATGCCTGGATCAGGCAAAATGAATGTGAATTTTGAAACAATTATTAATGAATAATCCAACTGAAGCAAGGGAGAACTAATGGTATTTGCAAGTTATCAGTCTTAAAACTCCATTTATCTATGCATTCCTTCCTTCTTTTAAACAATTCTGCAAAAATTAATAGGATGCAAAGAACAATTGTAATAATAGTTCTACAGAATATAGCTGCCTTTCTACATTTCCACCCAAGAAATGTACCAGGATAGTACATGTCTCTAATATTATTTTCTATTTATAGGGAAAAGAAAACCAGGCGCTCTACATGCTGTGCGTGGAAGCGCTGAAGATGTAAAAGGTCGGTAAGAAGTGAGGGCGGGTGGGTGGGCCCTCCGGAGCACCATACCGGAATGGTATCCAGTGCTCTGGGCTGGCTCCGGTATGCCTGTACGGGTGTACCGCCTGCAACCTACCACTGGTGCAGCATTTCTCTGGTTCAAGGCTTGAATCACAAAGGATTCAAGGACTAGCGATCTTGATGCCAGTTGCTAAGTCTAAAAATTTATGTGTATCATCTTGTTTCTTTTTGCCTTGATCTTCTCAGCTGAGGATTGTTCTTAAGGTAGAGGCAGTGGTGGGTTTCTACCAGTTCGCACCCGATTGGGAGAACCAGATGGTGAAATTTACTGATCTGGTGAGAGGAGGTTCGACCGGTGGACCCGGAAGTAACTTCTGGAATGCCTGCCCCGGCCATTTTGCTCCTCGCTCACCCCCACCCGTCCGGAAGCCGCTCCATCGCACCCGTCCGCACTATCCTAGCCCAATTCAGTGTCAAGTCCCATATTTGGGAGTGGAGGTGGTGAACGGAGAAGCATGGAGAGGTCCAGCGGCACAATCCACCAGACAGCAGCAGCAAGCTCAGGAGTTTGGATGTCTGGAGGCTGTTAGGGTCTGGATGGGGGCGAACAAACTTGTGCTCAATCCCGATAAGACTGAGTGGCTTTGGATGTT